GCACCTGCATTTCTCCCGGCAGCGCGCGCCCCCACACATCCTGCAGCACCACCTTTGGCCCAGCCGCCGAGCGGTACCTGCAGCCCACCCTCTGCCACTGCAGCTCGAGCGGCTCGCAAGCCAGCGACGCCGCCACCGGGTTGGGCGGCGCCTCGTCGTCAAACAGCGCGTCGATGCAGGACGCGCTGCGCGACATCGCGTCGGCGCCGGCCGAGTGGGCGCGGTCCATATCGGCTGCGAGGTGGGAGCGAGTCGGCGGCGCGTGCGAGGGTGCGGGGCCCTTGACGCGCGTGCGGCGGCTGCTGTGCAGGCCGCAGCGGGCGCAGGGGCCGTGCGATTCGGCGGCCAGGGGATGAGCAGACCACTTCGGCAGTGGTGTACGCGACAGCACCTCAAAGGCATCGCCAGCTGCAAACCACACTGCTGCTGCTGCTGCCGCTGCCGCTGCTGCTGCTGCTGCTGCTGCTGCTGCTGCTGCTGCTGCTGCTGCTGCTGCTGCTGCTGCTGCGTGTGCAGCTCACCTGACTTGTGGCCCCTGCGGTTCTGCGCTGGCACGTGAACGACAACCTCGACACTGGCGCCGACGCGGCCATGGTGAGATTTGTCGGCTGTGATGCCGGCCTTCTGGAGCGCGTTAGACTTTCCAGGGACTTTGCCAACGCGTTTTTTGCGCCGCCCACAGCACGACAGCGCTTGGGGGTCGTAAAGCAGCAGCGTCTTGATCAGCCAGACGGCCGCGAAGAGGTGAGCAAACGCTACAGTTGGGACCCATAATACCAAAATATTGGTATGCATCGCCCCGCTGCTGCCCTCCCTGCTGGAGGTTATGGCCGAGGAACCGCCCTACTGCGCAGACATTTCGCGGTCGTGACGTTGATTATAACATAGTAAGGGAGATGATTGCATGCGATGAGTGCATCAACTCGAAAGGTTCACATGTGCACAGCTGGTGGGTCGTGCAGGCCATCGGGCGTCCACGCCATCACAGCGAAGTGTTGGCGCTTATCTGGCTCCACAGCGCGCCCTAGCCCATTGGCATTTAAAACCCAGGGCTGCATAGTGCAGTTTGAGCCTCCTACATCACATCGACTCTGCCACCCATGCGTGACAGACCAGGGGTCGCCGGCTCCCGCCGTCAGCTGTTATGCGACAATGACGGCAGGTTGGGTGGGCTGCACCCCCGTCAGCCCTTTTTTGCGCGCCATCATTCCCCTCAAGCCCTGCCGCACCTTCGGCGGCAGCCCGTAAGCTGAGCAGAGCCGTTTTATCGAGGCAACATTTACATGAGGCCGGGGCGCCTGCGCACTAATACTCCATGCATAGAAGGTGATGGGTCTTATGCTGCAGCGGCGCGGCGAGCGCCGTCACTACGCCCGATTGTTCCATCTGCCGTCGCGGCCCGCCCGCAAGCGCCCCGGCCCCAGAGAGCCCCGGGCGTGCCTCGCAGGCCCGCGGGACTAATGCCAAACCCAGCTCTATAGGCAACGCGGCGCGCGGGCTTGCTTCCGGCCCCGCGCCGTGCGCCGAGTGTATACGAAGCAAGGCGTCTCGACGGGCGCACCGGTCGGCGATGAGGCGCGCGCCCGCCGCAACAAAGACAGCTATGCACGAACGAAACGTAACGGGTGAATCGCGCGCGTCAAGACCTCGTCTCCGGCCGGGGTTTGGGCGTTCAAATACGAGCGGTCGGGCCCGAGGAATGTCGGCGCGCCTGGCGAACGCCCAGTCAGAGGCCTATGGAGCCCGTCGCCCCCGCGCAATAAGGGCGGCGCCGAGGCCGCCGCGCTGGGATCTTCAGGGGAGCCCGGGGACGCGCGCACGTGGGTGGCGGCCCCGGGCCCGGCGCGCCACTCCTGGGAGCTTGCTTTTCCCATGTCCCATGCGGGTGTGGCTGTCAAAGGGGTGCCATGTTCTGAAGTTGCTGCGCTCGGGGGAGCGCTGTTGCGTGCCGCGCGGCGGCCATACCAAATCAATGAAATCTGCTGCCTTGGGAGGGGGTGCAAACGCGCCGCCGAGGCCCCCATGGTGTTGTCATCACCCTGGGGGCCTGGGGTGGCGGCTGCGCGTCTGCCAGAGGCTGCTGTCGGCGCGGGGCCCCGCTGTCTCAAGGGCCCCTGGCAGCGCGCGCCGCGGCTCGCCCCCGCCCCGGCCCCCGCAGCCCGCCCCGCGAAAAGGGCACGCTTTCAGGCGGGCCCCTGTCACAGAGAGGGAAGGGGGGCCGCGGGGCGGCGGCCGCGGCGGCGCTGGACGCCGCGCAGGGCGGCGGCTCGACCTCAGCTCAGGCATGCGCGTGGCACGCTTGCGCGCGCACGCAGGGGGCCTCCCCCCAGCCTCCCGGCCCCACCCCACCCGCCCCGCCCCCGGCCCCGGCCGAGGCCCGGCGCCGGGCGGTTTTCGCGGGCGGGCGCGGGCGGCGCGCCGGGCGGCTCGCCTCTCGCCGCCGCCTCACAAGGCGACGACCCCGAGCTCGTCGGCCTCGGTGTTGGCCTCGATCTCGATCGCCCGCTGGATCGCGTTCTTGTGCTTGCCGTTGGACAGGTGCGCCGCCTTGCCGTTGAGCCGGATCGCCTCCTGGTCCGCCGCGAGGTCCTTGGGCAGCCCCTTGTGGCCGCCGGCGCGGTGGCCGTCCCCGTGGTGCGCGTGGCGCTCCGCGTCGCCCTCGACGTTGATGCGGCGGGGGAGGTCCTCCTCACGGTAGGGGCGGTCGACGTGCATCCAGGCGCGGTGGAGGTCCTTCGTGTCGCGCAGCGCCCGCCAGATGTTGACGCCGCCCTTCATGCCGCCGCCGGCGCCGACCTGCGGGGCGGGGCCGCGGGG